TTGATGAGTGACAATCAATAATTATCTCTATATTTGCTTCACTTTTTCCAATAAAAATAATCTAAGGGGAAAACACTTGCTCTAGAAGAGCAAAGTTCACAACAAACAAATAGCAGAAAGGGATAGGAAAGTCCTTTTGTCTGCAGCAGTGTCCTGAGGTCAGGATTTTGCAAGCTGAAGATTGATTTATTCATTCAGTCCCTTTTATTCAACAAATAATTGAGCAATCCCTCCTTGCCAGGCACTGTTTATGGGCTAGGGAGAAGATGGTAAATAGACATGGCTTCTGCCCTCCGGGAGCTTACGGTCTACTAGGGGAGGAAGACATCAGGCCCATGAACACATGGATAGATATATACTTAATAATGGGAAGCATTGGGAAGGAAAGAACAGGAGGCACAAAAGAGACTAGTGGGGATGGGGATGGGGGCAGAACCTAGGTTGGGAGGTCAGGGAAGACCTTTGAGGAAGTGGCTTCAGCTGCCATCTGCAGAGTGAGTAGGAGCCAGCCAGGGGAAGGTGCTAGAAAGTGAACAATTTGCATGAAGGCTGCCACGTGGAAGAGACCACACTGACTCAAGAATCCAAGAGAAGACGGGAATGGAGGAGTGACTGGAACATAGTGGGCAAAGGGAGAGAGTGGTAAGAGGTCAGGGGCCAGGTCACCCAGGATCTTGCAGACCGTGGTAAGGATTCAGACTTTATTTTATGGAAATGAAAAGCCACAGAAGGTTATAAGCAATGAGGTTGATGTAGGTTTTCAAAGATCCTTCTGTGTATAAAAATGGTGGAAGGAGCCATCGACTAAAGAGGAGGCTATTTCAGAAGTTAAGACAGTAGACTGGGCTGCGGGTTGACAGTAGGTACTAAGTACACAAATTTGATACCCTTTGGACACCTGGGTGGCTCATTGGTTGAGCGTCTGCCTTCAGCTCAGGTCGTGAGCCCCGATCAGGAATGGAGTTCCACATCAGGTTCCTGACAGGGAGACTGCTTCTCCCTCTGCCTATGTCTCTGCCTCTTTCTAGGTGTCTCTCATGAATAAATAAAGTCTTAAAAAAAAAAAGACAGGATCAGCAACAGTGCTGTGCCAAGCCACATATGGAGTCCAAGGCCAAAGGAAAATGCCTGTAATATTGATCCTGTCTGTATTTAAAATTTTCATATTTTGTTCACTTCCTCACTCTTGTTCTGGCTAGCTGACCTTCCCCACCTGTAAACCAAGAGGCCACCATGTCATCACTTTCTGCTCTTAAAATAGATACTATGCAAAGAAAACTACCGACAAAAATCATCACAAGCTCCCTGGTGGTACAAATGCTTTTCTTTTTCCTGATTCTGGAGACTGTTTAGACAGAAAGTGCATTATAGTTGCTCCATTAATATTTCTGAAAATGTTAATGGCTAACATCTATCAGGCTCTTCATATGTCAGGAACTTTGCCAGAAACTGGTAAATACAATGATCTCATTTTACCCTCACAGCAATCCTGTGAGGTAGGTTTAGTATTATCCCTGTCTTACACATATACTTGACTAGTACTTAGTGAACACAGGAAGAAAGAAAGGATGTAGAGATCGAAGGGTAAATGAGAGAACAGAAAGTGAACAGGCCTCCTACTATTCCTTAGAAGTCCTATCTGGGTAACCAGTGATTTCAACTCCCTTAGCAAACACTATTCTCTGACAAGCATTAATTACCCCACTTAAATGGACCTGTATGAAAAGGAAACTATACATAAATATTACCTTTTTCCATAGGGATTATTTTTGGTAAGTTAGGTGTTTTAAACCGAACAGGTTTCCTAAGATCATATTTCTTGAACTCACTCATTCCCAAGTATTTACCGAGCAATCACTGTGCATCAGGGACACATCTCGGTGCTGTCCTATGTGAGCAAATCAAACCCAAATATGGGTCCTCATGAGGCGTATAATCCACTGTGTGTGTGTGTCTGTGTGTGCATGCGCACATGTGTGTATTGGAAGGTGTGTTGGATAAGACAGTCAATAACTAGTAAGCAAACACATACATAACATCATAATTTATCAGGATGCATGAGTGATTCAGTGGTTGAGTGTCTGCCTTTGGCTCAGGTTGTGATCCTGGGGTCCTGGGATCGAGTCCCATATCAGGCTCCCTGTGGGAAGCCTGCTTCTCCCTCTGCCTATGTCTCTGTTTCTCTCTCTGTCTGTCACGAATAAATAAATAAATACATAAATAAATAAACTTTTTAAAAATCATAAATTATCATAGGCATTATAGAAGTATAGACAGAGAAGTGAGGAGAGCTCTCCTAGCTAGAGTGGGCCCAACACAATTAGACTCAGGGAGGCAGATGTTCTGCTTCACATAATACTTAGGCTGCTAAAAATGCCGTGTGAAGAATATTTGCACATCAAATCAATCAAACTCCCACTACGGAGTGCGAAACTTTACAACCTAATGACTTACTCCTGTCAATGACAGTTTGGAAAAGCAACACCATTTATTCTTTTCTGCACAAACACATTCATCGAAAAGGTCTTCCCACCACTAGAGGGTCAAGAATACGATACTAGAAAACACTGGAAAATGCTACACCTTCTGTCTGCCCCACCTTCATAGGCCCATCTCAATGTCTAGATTTATGGAATTCCGGGGGAGCCCCTTGAACCCGACAACACCAAGAAGGAGCCAAGGAATGCAGAACCTTTGAAAGCCAGCAGAAATTATATGCGAAAGATGGCAGCCCGGTGAAGTAAGAAGTCCCTCTGATGTTACTTCTTGCCTCCTGTTGCCTAATCTACTTTCAAAGGCCAGTAATGTAGAAATTCTCCATTTCTCAAACAACCCCACCCAACGTAGTAGCACTTTAATCTCTAAAGCATGAGAGAGGAGTCGTGGACAGTACAGGGTATATAAATGGCTTTGAAAGGTCAGTCAGAAAAAAGAAATAACAAGGAGAGAAACCATGAGGAGCTGAAGGAATGAAAGCAAACCATGCTTTGAACTACCTGCCAACTTGAACGCAAACTCCCCCTGAGAGGCCACAGTTGCCAAATGAGCAAACTGTCAAGGTGACTGGTACCCACCAATGCTTGCAATGCACACTGCACGCCTTCCTGGAGATGCCAGACACCAGGGGAAGATTTATCTCACAGTTTACCTTCTTGCATATAAGATTTCAACACACTTCCAAGCTCTTTCATCCTTTATCAAACACCAGTCCTTGCCTGGGGGCTTTGGAGATATTCTCCTTCCTTCATCTCTTCCCATAACCACCCCCCCCCCCCCCGCCCAGGTTCCTGTCAACAGCTGGGTTGTGTATAGGCCTGTGTTGGAATGCCAGCGATACGGTCACAGGACCACGAGAGCCACTGGGCACGCTGAAACAGGGCAAAGTGTGCAAAGGGGAGAGAATGGTCCCTTTTGGACTTTTTGTGTGGGATCAAAGAGAACTGGCAAGTGAAAGGGACCTCTAAAAATAGCTAAGTCCTTAAAAAGAAATCATGCAAAAGGAAACAAGGTTTATACTGTCCCAATGTAGACCCTGTGAAAACTAAGCCCTGGCAGGCTGGTGCTGGGACGGCCTAATATTTTTCTTCCTGCCCTTTGTCTGAGATACCCACTGGGTCCCTCTGCAAATCCTGGGCCCTGCTCCCCTACCTGCTTCCTCTGCATAGTGCTAGAAGCCTCTGCAGGAATGTAGCTCTCCTGGGGCACAGCCAGGGCCTCCATGGCCCACTTTCAAGATCCAGAATAGACTCTGACATATTAAACGAGTTCCATGGGGTTTACATTCCTCCTTTGTATCCAAGCACCTTAAACACAAAATCTTATGCCAGGATTGCTAACCATTCTTCCAGAGATGCCTGGATATCATCTGTCTGGCAGAAATGTGAGTTTTGTCCTTTTTCCTCTTCAGTGCTTTGAATGAGCATGGGACCCTTGGCAGTAAGGCTGCTGGACAGAGGGGCTGACATAATACACTGACGTCTTGGGGCTCAGGGTTTTGCTCTTGGCTAAGCCACAGATTTGCTTTGATAAGCTGTTCGGCCTCTCTGTGTCACACCTCTCTTGGCCAGAGCAAAAGAGAAAGGGTTCATCTATCCCACATAACAGGATGAACAAAAAATACAAAATGATTATAAAGTACTTTGTGTAGCATCTACACAACAGGCATCCAGAGATGTTGCTTATTCGTATAAAATGCTTTGTGAAATGTGAATAACCAATGCATTAAACCATCGGCTCTTATTAACAACCATAACAACACCTTCTATTTCCTAGGCACTAATTACATGTGAGGCCTCCCTTGCTCTGTTCCTTCCTCATGGCCCCAGGATGAGAGCAGTATGCTTAACAGCGTTGTTTTACAGATGAGGCAGCTGAGGATCAGAAAGGTTAATGACTTGCCCAGTCATGCAATCAGTGAATGACATAGCAGAAACCAAAACCCAGGTCTATGAGAATTTCCCTTTTTCCTGGCCTTTCCCAGCCCAGTCTGAAGTAGGACCATCCACTGAGTTCCCCCAGTGGACTCTGGCCTCACCCTAGCCCTTTGAAAGGAATGGCAATTGATTCTGCTGTGACAAAGGGTCAGGAGGGATTTGACTGTCCCTGGGTCATCTTGGGGAAGCATCACAGTGACAATCAGAAAAGTGCTGGTGGGAGTATTTATAGCTGAGAAAGGGGGACTGTTCTGTGTCAAGGGAGGAACTTGCAAAAGACTTCATTCAACAGACACAAGTATCTGTCGATGGAGCTACATGAGTTATAGGGGCAGGGAGGTGGTGGGGGGAGTAAAGAGAAGAGAGAAGCTAAGGATCATTCATCCAAAGGGCCTTTTGTCTTTTTCTCGTATTTCCATGGCAGTTAAAATTATGGACTCTGCAGTCAGAAAACCCTACGTTCAGATCTCGGCTCTAACATTGATTTATCTGTGTGACCTTAGACAAACTGTTTAAACTCTCCAAGCCTTGGTGTCCTTAGCTGCAGACTGGGGATTAAAAGGCAATGCCTTGAGTTCAGTTCAGGGCAGCCCCCCTGCTTAGTATTAAACTCTGGGACATGACCAGGCAGGCTAGGGTAGATGATTACATGGAGAATATTACTCTATTCATTTATCTCCCAGCCTACAAAAAGAGAGAAAGAAAAAAAGAAAGACAGAAAGAAGGAAGGAGAAAAGGAGGGAGGGACAGAGGGAGGGAGGAAAGGGAAAAGCAATGCCAACCTTAAAGAACTTCTCTGAGGATTAATTAAAATACTGTATGTAAAACACTTAGGACAGTACCTGGTACATAGTAAATGTTTAAGAAAAAGTCTTGTAATATTTTATTATTGATGGACTTATCTGATTATTTATGAGTATGTCCAGAACAGCCTATTGGGAAACATATGGTCGGGCAAGCCCTCAGCATTTCCAAAGAGATAACACATATTTCAAAAGACTGAGCTTGGAAAGCCAAATTTTGTAGGTCATGAGGGAAGAACAAGAAACACCTAGCAAGCAGACCATCTTCCTATGAGTTGGGAGGTCTGCTATCTCTGAGAAAAGAATGTCCTTGAGGGCTGGTTCTGGAGATTGTAACTTGCACAACATTTTCAAAAGAGTTTTGGAGGCACATCCACAAGGGAAGGCTAGAGGACAGGCCGAGGGCTGCCAAAGCCCCTGCAGAATCACTTTGCATTTGGCTGGAAGCCCAGGGCTCTAAAGCATCAGTCTGTAGAAAAGATACTTCCACGTAAGATGTGTGTGGGTCCTCAGCATGGCCGAGAGCCTGCAGGATGCTCTGGACTGGGGTACACCATTAATATTCAAACAGACCTGGGGCTTGCTCTCTATGACGCTGCGCCATGGAGGGCTCTGTTTTTCCTCTTGGAGGATGTTTTCTCTAAGCATTAGAATAATTCCTGACCTCCAACTGAATAATGCTCTAGGGGGGTCAGCCTTTGGGGGATGGATAAGCCCCACTGCAGAGAATTAAAGCTCCCGAACGCAGGGAACAAGTAATGGATACTGCAGGAGGTCCCTGGGAATGTATGTGTCTCTGCTTCTGTGTCCTACTCCTCATGAAGGAGTGTGGGGTCTAAGAATGGGACGGAGCTGCTGGGTGATACAGCTGGACTGGATTCCCAGGCCCCCACTTCTTGCCAGCTACATGTGGTCCAAGCATCCTATGCCCCTCTTACTGGAAGCTCAGCTGTATTGATCTAGTATAGCAAGATTATAACCTCCTTAAAGACAGATGCTGTGATTTCTACTGCAGGCCCGGAAGCCCTTATCTGAAAAGGTTGAGGGCTAGATCTCTCTGAGGGATTTTAGAAAGGTTGTTTGGTACATATGTTGTATATTATGGGGCAACTTCACTGGGGTCTGGGCAGTCTCCCATAATCAAACACACTGGTGATTCTGCACCAGATTACACAAATATTACACAAAGGGTGACAAATAAGGACTTTAAATTGTCTCAGGATGGTTTGGGTCAGGTTTTGCCACAACTTGAGTTATAAAAGAATGTCTAGTTCTCAGAGTTTTTTGCATTTCAGAATGTGGAGTAGGGATTTCAGGTCTTTCCCCCCCCCCCTATTTCTGTTTCTTTCTCTTTATTTTCTTTTTTAAATTTCCAGAACAGTCTGCCTGTGGCAGGTGCTGAGTAGAAGTGGTTGGAGTCTCGAGGATGATACCTTCATCTCCCTCAAATAATATTTGATCCTGGAAGCCAAGGGATGGTTTATTTTCAGTGACCTGCGGATTCTTGAGGATTAGAAGGATTCTAAATGAGAGAACAGGAGAGAAAGACATTGAACCCACAGGCTCTCTGTCATCCTGGAAAGTCACACACAAACCCATGGAATACACTGAGAATGGTCACGAGTACATGATATTCCGTGCTCAAGGAAATGAGAGGAGGGCATCACAGCACATCAGTGGCAAGGGCAAGCCTTAACCAATCACTTAGAAAATTATATTTTTTCAGGGATCCCTGGGTGGCGCAGCGGTTTGGTGCCTGCCTTTGGCCCAGGGCGTGATCCTGGAGACCCGGGATCGAATCCCACATCAGGCTCCCGGTGCATGGAACCTGCTTCTCCCTCTGCCTGTGTCTCTGCCTCTCTCTCTCTCTCTCTCTCTGTGACTATCATAAATAAATAAAAAAAAAGAAAATTATATTTTTTCAAATATTGCTAAAGTATTAGTAAATGTTAAAATCAAGTTTGTTCAATCCTAAATCAATAGCACATGTGGTTGGCAAAATGAAACAAGATACACAGAGAACAATAATCAAGCTAACATCTGTGAACACTCTTTAAAACACAAGTTTTAGCAGTTTATCTTATTTTATTTTTTTAATGTTTTATTTATTTATTTATTTATTTTATTTATTTATTTATGATAGTCACACACAGAGAGAGAGGCAGAGACATAGGCAGAGGGAGAAGCAGGCTCCATGCACTGGGAGCCCGACATGGGACTCGATCACGGGTCTCCAGGATAGCGCCCTGGGCCAAAGGCAGGTGCTAAACCACTGCGCCACCCAAGGATCCCGGGCTTAGAAGTTTATATGAGTGATCACTGAACACAGCAATTCTGTGCAGTAGCTAATGGGGCCCCATCCTGCAGATGGGGAAACTGAGGCTCTGTGAGACTGAGTACTTTGCTTGTGAGTGTCCAGCCAGGACTAAATTGGACTCTAGTAGTATGTTGGTAAATCAGCTGTCAGAGAGAAGGAAGGAAGGAAGGAAGGAAGGAAGGAAGGAAGGAAGGAAGGAAGGAAGGGAGGGAGGGAGGAAGAAGAGAGAAAACAAAAGAAAAAAGAAATGAGAGAAAACAGCCCAGATTTATACTATTTTCTAATTTCTGTGGTGTAAACACTCCCATACAAGGGTTGATTTCAAGCTCACTAATGGTTTACTAACCAGCTTCCAGAATTCCTGAGTATTTAAAAATTGGCTTTTACAAATCTGTAGGAAGCATCTCCTGCACACACGGTCGAGTCCACCCCACGGCCACATCCACAATTTGCTGCCAACTTTGGAAGATGAGATTTCAGCTCATGGAACAAAACAGGCCTGAGAGCAGCACACCAACATGCTAGCCCCACCAGTCAGCCCAGCTTGCATTCCTACCCCAGACCTGGTACAGATCACTGAAGGTGGAGAAAGGGAGAAAAGACAGAAGAACACTCTGAGTCCTTTTCTTCAAGCAAACTTCCTTCACTGGAGGGTATGACATGGGTTCCTGCCAACCTGGCACTTCTTGGCAGAAATAATAAAACCTTGGATTCTTTTTTAAACCCCACAAACTTTTGTCTCAGTGAGATAAATAGGTCAAACTTGAGACTAAAAGATCTGACCCTTTTTTGAGATCCTTAAATCCTCAAATATGGCCTTCGAAGAAGTAATAAAGTCTCTTCTACAAGTTGGGGAAAATGTCTGGGTCTGCTTTCAACCAAGGGTAGGATATTCCAGCCTAATTTGCACTCATATAAAAATACATTTAGGCTCTTGGTTTAGCCTCTCTGTTAATACCAGCAGGATCCCACCTTCTAATTAGGTCTTCTGATAACATGTTTCCACTAGAGGCTCCTAAGGAGGGATTGGCCTGGCATTCAATCAACAAATACGTGGAGAACGAAATTACATGCAGGCATGTGCTAAATGCAGGGCCTAGAAAAAAAGGCATAGCTTTTATTCCAGAGCTTCAGAGACTAGTGAAAGAGACAATCAGGTAACCTTAGTTAAATTATATTCCTTCCCTTGTTCGACAAATATTTATCAAGGGCCCATTAGATACCAGGCATTTTGCCAGGTACTGGGGATACCATGGTGAGCAAGACAGATTGGTTTGTACTCTTGTGGAGTTGGCGGTCCAGTCATAAAAGGAGACGTTAATTAAATAATCACAAGAATGAATGTGTGATTAAAAAATGAAGTGAGAGCTCTGAGGAAATGTTAAATGGTCCTACGAGAACTGGAGGCAACTGACACAGTTAAAGAAAGTCAGCAAAGCCTTCCATGAAGGCTTTGAACTAAAACGTCGGAGTTAACCAGGCAAGTGGGGGAGAGGGAAAGGGAGGAACAGTGCTCTAGAGAGAGGGAGCAGTGCAGGCAAAGATCCTAGGGTGAACAGGAGTGCGGTGGTTTCAGGGGAATGGAAGGCCAGTTTGGGGAAAAAGCATGGTGGGTGGTAAGGCAGGGGAGGAAGCCAAGGCTGGTCCTCAGAGCACTATAGGCCCTATTAAGGACTTAGAACTTTTATTTTAGGGATGTCTGGGTGGCTCAGCGGTTGAGCGCTGCCTTTGGCTCACGTCGTGATCCTGGGGTCCTGGGATCAAGTCCCACATTGGGCTCCTTACAGGGAGCCTGCTTTTCCCTCTGACTATGTCTCTGTCTGTGTCTCTCATGAATAAATAAATAAAATCCTTTTTTTTAAAAGAACATTTGCTTTAAAGCAAATGGTTAGTTTTATTTCTTTTTTGTCATTGAAATATAGATGACGTACAACATTATATTAGTTCTAGGGGTGCGATATAGTGACTCAACACTTATACACATTATGAAATGGTAGAGATAAGGCCTTAGTCTGCACCCAAGCACCGGGAAGACACTGAATGGTCAGTGGGAAATACTTGTGGCAATTACAGCCAGGGCTTTCATAGGGTAAATGAAGAGCTACTGTAAGAACATACAGGGAGCTAACATTGGTGTATGTGGTGTGGAGGAAGAGGAGGGAGGCTAGGGCTGGGGGATGCACTTTTATCGGCTTTCTGGAGGAGGAAATATATTAGATGAATTTTTGAAGGATGAGTATGACCTAGCCAGGCCACGGTGGAAGGTGGAGGAAGAGAGAGAGCAAGAAAAACTTCTGAGTGAGTGTGAGGGTGTGGGGGTGATTGCAAGAAGAACAAGCCAATAAGAAACAAGGCAACAGAGTTAGGCAGGGACCCAATGATGAATGCCTCACGGGTCATGATGGAGTCTGGGTTTTATCCTCATGGCAGCAGAAAACCCACTGACACAGACAAAGATTCTCATCAGGAGAATGATGATCAGACACATGCCTCGGGAAGGCCCCTAGCAGCAGAGTCCAAAGTGGGTTGGAAGGTTGCAATGCTGTAGAAGACAGACCCCGTCTGCCTGCCTTAGCAGCCCAGGTGAGACAAGGTGTTGCATCTGTAGGGAGCAACCACAGTGTAGATGGAGAAGAGAGGATGATTTTAAGAGACATTAAAAAGGTACAGTTGAGTAGGCTTTGTCACCAGGGGATGAGTAGGAGTGACTTCTTCTCTACCCACAGAACATTCTGAACAGAATGGATTCTTCTACTTAAAGAGCAGGGTTCCCTTGGGTGCTCACTCAAATAAGCTTGTGAATTGTGCATTTCAATCTACACCCTTATTAATATTTTCTGTGTGTTTGCTTTAACATTTGTGACAGAAAGGTACTCAAGTCTCCCACCAAACCATGGTGGATTTGCCAAGCTTTCTTCACATTTTTGTTAATTTTTGTTTCATATGTTCTGAGGCTATGTCATTAAGTATAAATAAGTTTAAAGTTTTTATATCTTTCTGTTGAATTATTCCACTTATCATTACGCAGTGATCTCTTTTTACTGTAGATCATTCTTTTTGCCCTAGACCTAATTTCTCTGATATTAACATAGCCACATCAATTTTTACTTCTTATTAACACTGGAATCTATTTTTCATCTTTTTGCTTTTAACCTTTCTGTGTCCTTATGTTTTAAATATGTCTCTTGTAATCAGAGTGTAGGTAGAATTTTTAAAAATCCAGTAGCTAGTACATTTAGCCCATTTACATTTTATCATGATTATAAATATATTTGGATTTATTTCTGCCACCTAATTTTGAGCACTATTTTAAATTTTCTATTCTTTTTCTGGATTCCTTTGGATAAGTAGTTTTTTGTTTTGTTTTGTTTTGTTTTAACCTTGTTTCCCTTATCCCTAACAGTTGCTGGTTGAAATCACTGCATTCTATTTCCTTTCTTTCAGTAGTTACTCTTAACATTTATATGCATTTAACTCAACAGAATCTAAGGTTAATTACTATCTCTAAGAGTTAATGCTTTTGGATGATGCCATTGATAGAAACTTACAGCCTATTTGGAACCAAAGGTAAGAGCTATTATACATACACTTAGTTGGAGGACATATACCCAATAATCAGCTTTGTCAGATGCCTATACATCTACTTCTGGTGGCATTATACATTTTGTAAAATATTCTCTTTCATGGGTATCCTGCATTACTAAAGCAGTGACAGGAGTTTAAAAAAATACATCAGTGTTTGCTTTTCCTTAATTCTTAGAACCTAACATTTTTCCTGCTCGCTTGACTACCAGGACCAAACTGAGCACAAACGTCTCCTAAATAGTGGACTTCATAAATGTCACTTCAACAACTGTCCATAAGCTGAGAACTGAGTCTGAAATGGTGACCCGGCTTCTCTCTTACATAACCATACCTTATCTTTACCTCCTTCACCCTCCCTGCTATGTTTGTGGCCTAAGTGATGGGGAAGGAGCTAAACTAATTTCTCCCAAACATGAGAGGGAATGAAAAACTCTATCTGCATATCAACTGGAAAATTATTTCAAATCTAGCATTCAATGGCCATTGACCTAGACCACACCAGGCTTCAACTAGTTCAAGATAACCAGTTATTCATATCTCCTATAGGTCGGGTCACATTTTTGTACTTTCCAAGTGTTACAAATACTTTGCCTATTAACCCTTCAGACAACTCTGTGAGGGTAGACAGGATGGGGATGATTGGAGGAAACATCTCAGAAGGAGTGAATGACTTGCCTAGGTTCCCAGAGTCAACTTGTGCATAGCTGGGGCTGCATGGTATTGCTCACTATCTCAGATTGAAAAGTGACTGTTGTGTTGCAGGGCAAGACTGTATATTTATCATCCTGTTCATGTGTCAGAGTTCAAGTTCTTTTGAGCAGCTACAGATGACAAAATATGCCAGCCTTAGCACAGATATTCCAAAAAGCTTCATGTTGCCCTCACTTTGGTGTCACTGAGAAGTCAAAAAATCTTCTGCCTTTCCCTAAATATCACCAGTGCCCCAAATCTCAAAAGGCTGGACTCAGCACACAGTGATGACATAAAGTCTACTGGGCTTGATATTTTCCAGCTCCCAACAAGTATACACAGATAACCTCCACCCCTGACAGCCAACAAAAAAATCATAACAAGAAGCAGAATTATAAATTTCTATTACACTTAATGCCTGATTTCATGTAGTTAATGGATTCATCTATTAGAGCAATTTGTGAAAATCCCCAAGGGCCCAGAAAGCTGTTGCTTAATGGTTCCTTACTCTTATCTTTTAACAAATACTGAATAGGCAAGGAACTTAGGACTATCTACTGCTTAGAATATAGGTAAGTGTAAATAAAGCCAAAAACATAAGGGCTTTTTGTGCCTCTGGGGTTTCCTTCAGCAACAAAAAGGGATTTTATTTTCTGTATGTTTCAGCTGATTCATAAATCCCACTGCCACAGCCTATCAGCTTCATGTTGACTCAGGCTGATTTTCAGGAGTCACTATGTTCTCCCTCAACTTTCCAGCTTTTCACCCTGTGAACTGCAGGATGATGGGAGCAATTGAAGTCAGTGTGCCCCTCATCATTGTCCCTCTTATTGGGGGGAACAGGCAGAGAACAGAGTCGTAGCTTTATAACTGCAGGGTGTATGTGATGGGGAGGAGAGGGACACCTGAGGACCTGCTGGCCTCTGGCCAAGGTTGTTCAGCTGGGGAGATCTCCGTAATAATGAAGCCCAGGCTGCATGGCTTATACATTGGCTTATACATACATGAGAATGTGAGCATTAGGACATCCTTGGCCAGAGCTGCTGCCTCCAACCCCAGGAGCCTCAGGAGTATCTGTTTCCTCTTTGTATTAAGGGGACAGAAGCAACACTGCAAATGCATAGTGCCAAATCCATACCCAACACTTAGAAAACAACACAATGGAGAACCCTCACTGGTGCTGGATCTAGAAGGGAAGCCATCTTTGCCACCCACATGGTCAGGGGCACACGGAGACTTCCCCTTGAGGAAATCCATGGACAACAACAAACAGAATCCTGTCCACCAAAGGCTGACAATACAAACGATTATCTGAACAGTTAAATGGCAACCACCAGTCTCTAGTTATTATCTCCTGTACCAAATTAAGTATACAACTTAGCAAAGGTTTTTTTTTTTTTCCTTGGGGGGAAGAAAAACAAAAAATATTTATTATCTCTTAGCTGTACTTCAAGGCACGGGAATCTGATCACTGTTGCATGTTAATGGAGAGGTGATGGGTGAAGATGTCCAAGTTTGGAAGAATTAAACTGCTTTATATCAGAAGGGGATCCAGAAGTGAGTGGAGTGAGGAAGTAGAATGAGAGAAAGATTGAGAGGGTGGGTGAAAAAGGGCTGAGCAAAAAGGGAGAAAGAGAAACCATGAGAGGGAGAGGTGGGCCCACAGACATAGAGACTTGTGGATTAATGAGAAGGTTTGGAAGAGTGTGGATTTGGGAAATGTGCCCCACAAGTTAAAGTGTGGATGTAAAAAAAATTTTCAATCTGTTACTCTATTATCTGAAAAGAGCTGGACAGAGTTTCAACATATGTGAAGGGGATATTTGGGATGGCCTGACTCTAAATATTATTTATGTACCATATGCAAAATTCTCCTTGGGGGTCGTTGGAGAGACTGCAAAGCAAAGCTGAAACAAGGGACTGTGACTTGTCCCTGGGACTGTAGACTGAAGACATGGACACAGACATTAAAATGCCTGGAGCAAAAGAAACAAATAGAGGCTTCCAGCATGAACCCTACTGCCAAAGTCACTAGGACAAATTATTCAGATTGTTGCCTTGATTTATGATGGAAGTGTTTTCCATGAAAGCAGCTTTATGAGGCTGCCCCGGGGACAGTTAGGTGGATGAATTGATGGATGGATGGATGGATGGATGGATGATGGATGACAGATGGATGGACAGATGGAGGGATGTATGGACAGATGTATGAATCAATGGAGGGACGGATAGATGAATGGAGTGAGGGAGAGATGGATGGTTAGTACAGGGCATGCAGGAGGCTGGTGGGCCTGCTCTGAAGTTCACAGTGCTCCCTAAAGTCTGGTGATGTGGGGTCTCCTGGGGAATGAGGACTTACCTGGAGTCCTGCATCAAGGTTGACATGAGGACAAAAGTTGGTGGTGACAGCCAACATCTGGGTCACAGATTAATAACTTAATGAATAAAAAGCTCATGGGGGCAGATGTATGTGCCAGACAAGAGGTAAAAATCCCAATTGCAGCAATGATACTGCAGTTTCATTGAAGTCACTTCACTGAGGGCAAGTGATGGCTCTGTTTCAACACACTCCTTTTGAGGCTCAGCACCACCAAGTAAAAGCTGTTGACCTTGGACAGGCCATCAAATATCTATAAGCTTCTGTGTCATTTTAGAAAAAATGGAGATACTATGAATGTCTGCCTCAAAGAGTAGTAAAGAAGGTTACATGAGCTAACCTGTACCCAAAATATGTCAATGATGATGATCATTATTATTGTAAGGCCACTTGATGATCACTATGTACAGTCAGCACCTTACTCACTCTGGTAAGGAAGCTCCCACAGCAGTTTCCTAGCTCCTCTTCTCCTCTTCCTTGCGTAGCCCTGTAGTCACCAGTGCTTTGTTCTCCTAAGTGGTGGGACAAGAAGATGTTTTAGAATTCTAACATTCATTAATTTAGCATTTTAAAACTGAGCCTTGTGTCACTGATGCATTTTTACACTGATAATATAAATTTCTACAGAGTGTGTATACACAATATTAGAGGATCATAATGTATAATCTGGTGGCATCTGTGTCAGAATAACTATGTCTCTCTAGAAGATACGTAGGATGAAGATGGCCTCTGTACAAGGGACAGACCCACCTTCTCTGTGTGATATGAGGACGTAGGGGAAGCTGGGGAAGCATAACTGGTAGATGCTTCATAACGATCGGTCTCATAAAACCTCCTTTGGTAAAGTGTCTGCCCTTTAGATCCCCACATAACACGGGCCAAGTGCTTGTTCCCCACTCTGGTTCTGCTCCCACCAGCAAAGCCTTTACACATTAACCCGAGGCTGTCCCTATTGTGGGTGGTCTGAAAGACCTCCATCCCTTTTCCTAGGGGTCCCGAACACTCAGGTTTTCGGAGCTATCTGCATACATGGGGCCGGCAGTCCCCCAGCCAGAACTGTGGGAGGATGGAGAGCAAAACCTCAGTGCCGGCCTCTCGGCTTTTGTGGGTTTCAGCCAGTGCCCAGGTGTTATTTTAGTGCAACTTCAGTGTTTAATTTGAGGATATGTGTGGATCAGAAGGAGGGACCAAGACATTATTTTTTTTTCCCTTGCCCAAGTGATTAAATTTGAAATTCTAAAAAATGCACAGCCTGGACCAAAGCTGTGTCCAATTGGGAAGTGAGAAACGTCCTGAAAATCCCTCCCATGCCAGAGACCTTTCTTCCTTAACCGCTGCCCACCACCCAGGCCTGTTTCCTGTGGCCATCACCTGGGCAGTCTGTGGTTACTCCCCGACTCAGAACCCTGAGCGCTGAGGCTCTCCTTCCCTTCTTGAAAGGGTACGCGGCACCTTTGCCAGTGGGACATTCTACAAGGTTGTTTAATTTCTTCCAGCCTTGAAAGCACCATAACCAGCAGCTGCAGAGCCATGGCTGAAGGGGAAATCACAACCTTCACTGCCCTGACGGAGAAGTTTAATCTGCCTCCGGGGAATTACATGAAGCCCAAACTCCTCTACTGTAGCAACGGGGGCCACTTCCTGAGGATCCTTCCAGATGGCACAGTGGATGGGACAAGGGACAGGAGCGACCAGCACAGTAAGCACCCATCTCTCTTGTGGCCTCCTGCCTTCCTGCTGTCTTCCTTAGTCAAGGATGCAAGAAGGGAGGATGTGTACCTATGGGTACCCTTTTTCTGCATGACACACTCAGAGGCAGGGTGATATAAATGTGCACAGGGTCTAGGTTTGGATAATAACACACTGTAGGAGCTACAGTCTACCTAAAGGGGTCCTATTTCAAGGTTTTAAAAGGACTATCTGTTGACCTAACACAACTGCTTTGAGATGTGATATGGCCGCCAGCGTTCAACTGTTCTGGGTTTCTGTAACTATTGAAGAAAGGCCTGGCCCCCAAGGCTGGTGAGGGCCCCGCCTGCTCTCTGACAGGAAGAGCCACATGGGGCAGGGGCAGTGAACCCTACACAAAGACGTGGGCTCAGTTTCATGTTAACGGACTCTCCAGGTTATGTTTCCACTGGGCTTGATTTGTGAAATCCTAGTTCATAATCATAGTCTTACACATCATAAATTATGCAGCTTTCGCTTGGCCTATCATGCAGATGTGGTTGTGTTGACTGGGAGGGGTAAAGTCATTCTCCAGACCTTATAGAAGCGGGAGGGCGGGAGCAATGGGAGCCAAATGCTGACTATCTCTTCCAGGCTTTCCTGCCAGCTCAGCTCTCAGATGGTGTTGATAAATGGAGGTATGACTTTAGAGAAAAGAATCTTCTTGACTATCTAGGAACAAAAATCTCTTCCTTCTGCTTTAGTACTTCTCACAGTGGTGTGTACATTTGATATTAGGGGTCTGGGTCCTATCGTGACATTATCCCTGAGCACCACTGAAGCATTAGCTGTTATAGAGAAGCCAAAAGTCAGAACTCGTTCTTGCTTAAAGGGTTAGTGATCTAAGGGTAAAGCACACTGTGAATCAAAAGAAGAAATGCATATGGGAAACCAGGAGATAGATAATAATAGCAGAGATAGCAAGTGAAGTTCTATAGAACAGGCTTTAAATGGAATGCAAACTACTTACCTTGATGGTTTATATACCAAACAGTCTTAATTATTCGTGTAATATGCACCAAAGGTTGCAGACTGGAAGCATAAATGACCACCTCAGTGGTGCTCATTCTACTCTTAGATGCAAAGGTCATGGGGTGGAGAAGCCACCATTTATGGATTAGAAGGCATTGTCTCTTCCTTCCCACTCACCAGGCATACCCTTGAGAAACGGAGGAGGAAGGCTGATGTTGGGGCTTGCAGCTGCAGGGTTACGTTTTCAGGGGGTTTTGTTTTGATGGCTTATCTTCCAATCGGCCTAGAGAATGCCTTATACTTGATGATGAAAACTAGGTACCAGAATGAGGCAAAAAAGACTCCATTTAGTACATTAAACAAATATAACTAAGTAACATTTACTGCAAATAAATGGACTTAGATTGTAGTCCATTGCGTGAGGCAAGCTACACAATTCATGTAATCTGCCCCCACACCACAAGGCAAAGAAGCTTTAGTTCCTTTGGAATTTTAAATGTTTCTGATAAGTCTCACCCATTTTCTGAACCAATGGGAATGCTCTCTGATGCTCAGAATCTCAAGGGAAAGAACCATGATGATGCGTTCCTCAGGGTTAGACTGGCTTTTCTGAGAAATCTTGAATTCTGGGAAAACAAGACACTACAATTAGACTTCCAAGTACTGGAATTTCTGTACAAACGGCATGTGATTTCATTGTTGTCATCCCATCATTAACATTATCGATTGCATTCTGGGTATGTAACATTGGGACAACTTCTGCAAGTGCTGTGAATTCAGCCACCTGACCTAAGATGTCAAGAACCCTTGGAACTCAGCACAAGAAGGCCATTGGAGTGGGTGTGAGGAGGTCTACATCCAAGTAATGCTGGATCGACTATTTGCCAAGTGAACCTGGGCTAATTACGTAATCTTCCTGGCCTCACTTTTCTCACTTGTAAGATAAGACTAATACTCATTTGCCTCACTGGTTTTTTAGGAGGATTAAACGAGGTAATTGAAGAAGAAAGTCCCCAGCACAGTGCCTGGCTCAGGGTAACAACAGATCAGTACAATATTGCTGTTGTCATCATATCTTCATCATCATCATATCCGGACTTCCATATATTCAACCCAGCCTGTGGAAATACAGTATAGTATTTGAGGACCTTTACTTCATCTTTTCTATAACATTATCTCCCAGGAAGGTCAAGGGTCTAGATTCACATTTTGATTCAGGGCCTCTCTGGCAACATTCAGAGTTGTGTTGGCTTATTAATTTACTCTAGAACTAAGAACAAGGCCCAAGGAGGACAGAAATCAGAGTAAGATGGGATGAGTGAGCAGAAATCCATCTCTGTATTTGTCAATACCAGAAAAACAGGATAATCCACATACTCTCTGCAGACTAAGGGAGGCCCTAGATTTAGAGTCAGAAAGCTTGAGTTCATATTCCTGCACTGTCACTTTCTAACTGGAACAGCACTGAACAATGACCATTCTCCCCATTTTGCATAAAATGTTCTGCAAAATAAGTGTCAAGTTCCTCAGCCCAAGGACCCATATAGTCACCCCTCCTGTCTAGCACTGTAGATGTCTCCAGTGTTCCCAACCGTCTAATCTTGGGGAAAATATTGATATTCAGCTTTCTCATCTGGAGAATGGGAATAATAACACTGTCCTGTGTGTCTGACAGGCTGAAAAGTCTTAAAAGATCCTGCAGGCAGGAGGACTCCCGGGCATGGATGGACCCACTGAGTGTAGTTCTGTCGCCCTCTGCTGCCCAGTAGCGGTACTGCCACATACACTCTTCATTTCAAGGGTTATTCTGAATCCGAGTCCATCTGGAAGGCGCACGGGGTGGAGAGAGTGGATGACCCTTGCTGATTAGCACAGTCTGGTGAGAGGACGGTTTCTATTCCTAGATCATTAGTTTGAGCATGACTAGAGATTGTAGTCACAGGTACAGAGCCATACTCTTAAGACTAATGCCAGGAAGAATATTTCTAAAACCCAATCAAATATTGAAATAAGTCTACATAAATTATACAAAATAGAACTGCATGCCTTCCAGCTCTACAAGGCAAAAAATAACTCTTCACAGCTTCTCTTTGTCTACAACCTGCGGATCTCCCATGGGCAAAACTAGGATGTTTTCAAAACTTATCGTCTTCCTAATTCCAGGAGAGTAAGTTTCTAAGTACCTAACACAAAGCCTTTTTTGGAGTGGTATGAACCTATGACAGGTGCTTGTATGCAGCTTGTATGGATTGCAACGTAGACCTGTGTAAAACGGCCCCACTGGTAAGAATCTCTCGCCAGTAGGGAAGATGTTTTTGGTTTGCCCTTCATAACTCCCCAAATCATGGCTGTAGGCAATCATCAATATAGGCTGTGGCCATCTGTTACAACGCCATTCTAGGAAAGCCAGGCAACATCAGAGTAAGAGCTGCAGACCATGAGCCAAGGCAATGGATGTTAAGTTGCAAGAAGATTCATAGTGACTCCTGTGGCTTCCCTTTGGGGCATGGGTAGATGGTGGCATCACCTTGAGAGGGAGGCTCCTGGAAGAGGAACAGGCAAAGGGAAAGATGACCAGTTCCATTTTGGATACAGATTTGAGGAGTTCCTCTTGTACCATCCATACCTCCTTTCAGTTATAATTAAACTTATCCATGTGGTTACTTAATGGTTTTCTCCCCCACTAGGCTCCCCGAGGATGGGGACTTTGACTCTTATAGCTCAACAATGCAATTTTGTGTCTAGTACATTGACTGGTACTTGGTATAATGCCCAATAAATATTAATTTGATGAGTGAATGAATTATATTGGTGGCAGATAAATTCAAATTCAACAATATATTGTAGATACCTATCGAACACCTGGGGAAGTGACTTCACAGGCCTCAGTTTCTTCATTTTAAAAACAGTTCCCATGCCATAGAAAAATAGGGACCTTAAAAGTGTCATATACACTGCCAGGCACATAGTGGGTGCTCAAATAATGTTATTTATCATCATCATCACTCCTAGACTGACTTGACTTTCTTCCTATAACCACGTGATCTCTGCGGTCTGATAAGTTAAATGAATGTTAGCCTTGCTCACTGGATTTAGTGTTACTCTTCATCTCAGTGTCGCCGGGACTGTCTACGTTTGAAGCTCTCAAGTCCTGGAATGTAGGAGAAATGTGCCCAGGCCCTGGCCCAGCCAGCCCTGGCCTGTCTAACATCTCTGCTGGAGAGAGCTGTTGTGGGCAAAATAAGGAGGGGCTCCACGTTTGATTCTGCTCTTCCTGCTGGAATTTCCTCTCAGGCAAAAGGGGACATGATTTGTTCCTCAATAGGATGAATACCTGAATAGTAACTGGAGAAGAACAAGTTCACAGCATCCCAAATCTGCAGCCTCCTCGGTGACCACACCCCCTTGCCTGCCCAAGCACACAAGAGGCTATGTGGGGAGCAGGATTCCTGGCACTGCTCACCACACAAATGGAAATGTTCCTGAGCAAAGTGTGTGCCAATCAAATATTTATAAATCAAACCACATCCTAAAGGCACTAAAGGGAGTTCACTGGTCAAAGGAATGGTACTTTGCACTCTTTATAAGGAGCAGACTCCTCTTCAGTGAAATCCCTCCCACCTCCTTGTTTTGGGGCAGTCCAGACTTCCAGTGTCTAGTGTGCTATGGCTCGGCACCTCATGGTAAAGGCGCTTTGCTCCCCACCAGCATGGGCTGAAAGTCAAGACGGCTTTCCAGATCACCAAGGTGGGCAGAACTGGGTCCTGTTGGCAGAAGCCAGAGAGCCAGGCAGGTCGGCAGCAGACTGCTCCCCTCTGCAGGGTGCTCGCACATCGGTGGGATGTGATGCCAGAGGACTCTCTGCCCCTTCTCCCCTCACTCCTTATCTGGTTATACAGAAGAGATTCTTCTAGATAGACTTCTTTTTCATAATATCACACAGGCCATGGACTACATTAAAATTTTCCAGGCATCTTTTTTTCAGACCCTAAAGCAGAAGCAGACACCTTTACACATTCTAAGAAAAGTCTTTTTCATATATATATGTATTCCAAACCACTGGAATTTTTTTTCCATAAACTCATTTTTTTTCTTCTCCATCTTTCTCTAATGTTTTATGGAGCCCAACTTGTGGCTACGTTTTAATTATAAATGCCACTGACATAAAACAACCTCACCGAGTTCTGAATGAGGCTGACCTCACTTTGGGTAAACACGGCAAAGGACAGGAAGTCTCCAACCCAGAATAAACTAGGCACGTAATCTCTTTTGGTCTCTCTTTGGAGAGCAGAGGTGGGAAGCAGGTTTAAAGGCCATGGACGTGCTACAGAAGCAGAACCTCCCTCTGCACTCATCTGTCCCCTGAATGCACCAGTTGTAATCTTATCTTTAAAAATTTCTAGGGCAGGAGAGGACGATGCTATGATGGCTGGGGGCTTGGAACCATGGTGCGGCGCTCCAAAGCTCCCTTTAGCTTGGCAGTGGCAGGCTCATAAGACCTTTTCCTTCTTTCTATCCTTGGAAAGTAAGAATCATGTATCTTACTGTGAATAAGGTGCTGCTAAGAGCTAATGGAAGGCACTGTGGAGAAGAGAAAACCAAAGATTCAGACAGAATTCTCCAGGAAAAAAAGGTAGACTGCCTAGGTAGGGGCTGCTATATCCACCCAAAAGCTCTGGGTTCACCTTTATGCAGGTTCCTCCAAGTAAAAAGACCCGTGAAGGGATCCAAACTAGAAGCACAGGGCAGGGAAAAGCACGATCCACAAAGGTGGAAATTACATTTCAGTACTTTGACATTTTTGATCAATGGGCCACTCCTAAACCAGCACACCCTTACGCATTTCCTAGTCAAGAAGCAGGACTCTGGATTCTACTGGGGACATGATGGTCACAAACCCACCAAGCAAACACTTACAATCTTCTTGTAGCACCTTTTTTTGATAAGGCTTTATAAATCTGAATTTCTCTCAGAAACATATGTGTATCTAGAGGAGCTTTTAAAAATCTGCTGGTGAGGGGAGGAGAAGAGGGTGACTGAGGGGAGAGAAGGCAGGAGCCCCAGGCAGAAGCAGAGCCTCTGTGCCTATGCAGGCCGTGGAGGCTATAAGAACTGGTGACCTGGGATCCCTGGGTGGCACAGCGGTTTGGCGTCTGCCTTTGGCCCAGGGCGCTATACTGGAGACCCGGGATCGAGTCCCACGTCCGGCTCCCGGTGCATGGAGCCTGCTTCTGCCTCTGCCTATGTCTCTGCCTCTCTCTCTCTTTGTGTGTGACTATCATAAATAAAAATTAAAAAAACAAACAAGCAAAAATCTGGTGACCAAAAAAAGAAATTTAAAAATAAAGAAATAAAATAGCAATTAAAAAGAATTTTTTATTTAAAGATTTTATTTATTTATTCCTAAGAGACACACACAGAGAAAGAGAGAGAGAGAGAGGCAGAGACATAGGCAGAGGGAGATGCAGGCTCCATGCAGGGAAGCTGATGTGGGACTCGATCCCAGGACTCCAGGATCACGCCCTGGGCTGAAGGCACGAGCCAAATGGCTGAGCCACCCAGGCGTCCCTTAAACATTTTTTTAAAGAAAAATTGCTTCCATTTCTTCTGCTAAGTCAAAAGT